TTCCTGCTGTCATTCCCCACCTTGGCCATGCAAGAGTTCTGGTACGGTCAAGGGACGCTTAACCACCAAACTCATTGCACAAAGGCCCAAGTCTTGATGGGAATTACTGAGATCATAAAGTGGTCCAGGAGAAGGGGGGGAAAAATGCACCACCACCACATGTTGGGATTTTGCTACGCTGAATGTTTATTTTGCCTTTAGGTTAAGCTGTCGTCTGTAAATGCCATAGTAAAAATATATTTTTCTCTTTTTTTCTCCAGAAATTTTATGAATAAGAATCAGAAGCCGGTGCTAACAGGCCAGCGGTTCAAAACTAGGAAGAGGGGTAGGTTACATTACATTTTTAACTTTATTTTCATCTCTGTTAAAGCGACTAGAAACAGGGCAGGTGAAATAAGTGAAAGTTCCATAGGATTAAGGTTTTTCTCCCTTCTCTTCAGCTGTCTTAAGAGTGCAGATGTTATTTTTAATTAAGCTCTATGAATTTTATTATTTTCTTTATATATCTTAGGATATATCTTAGGACTTTCTGTAAAATTTGGGTTTATTAGCTATTAATAATAGCCTCAGTTAAAAATTAGATTCTAAGTGAGTTTATAGTATATTTACATACAAGGAAGAAAACTTATTAAATGTTTGTTTCAGGTGTTTCTTAAAATGTCCCTTTCAACTAAGAAAGCAAAATATGAGCTTTTCTTTAAAGGTTGCTTAAAGAAAATCTGGCTTTTTTTGTTTTGATTTTTGTTTTTATTTCTTTGACTCAATTCAATACCATCTCTATAAATGAACCTTTCACGTCTGTTGCCTAGGTACTATTTTACTCATGATACTGATTTTCTGTAACCACGACCAACACTCTTTTCTTATGTACAATATTGCATCAATTTTTAAAGAAAGCTAAGTGGTGCTAATTATACATCCAGGTATTCTGTACAGTGATTGTCATCCTAATCTGCTTGCTCATACTGTACTCAGAGTTCATTTGTTATGGTTTAGGTGTCTGAGATGAATGCCCAACACTTTGAGGCAGGGAACAAAAATATATGTAATAAATGATTTATTTTTTTCAGAAAAAAAAATCTGGTTTGTGAAAAGAAAGCTTAGATTTTTTGCTGCTGCAGTAGTAGATTATTATAACACCCATAGGTGGGGTTCACGTCGGTCATGTAACAGACTTTTTCCATCTCGACTTTCCTGTTTCTGATCAAAAGCTAACACCTGGTCTTAACATCTTGTGGCAGAAAATGTAAACAAGAGCATTTTCTCAGTGTGAATGAGAGAAAAAAAAAAAAGAGTTGTAACCTTTCTCAGAAAATTACAAATTCTGTCATGAGTCTGAAGAGCTGAGTGAGTGTCTTAAGATCTAGGATGATTACAAAGCTTGGATGAGAATTGCAAAACAGTTTGTTTTCAGTCGTGTTAAAAAACAGTGCCAGCTTTCTCTCATCTTGCACACATCACTTCCTCTGCTAGTTTGACCGTTGTGGTCTTTTAAATGGAAAATGTCCTTTCTATGATGCACATAGAACATTTGTAGGTATAACTAATTAAAAAAATAAACCTATATTGTTCGTAAATAAATGTCAATGATGCTCCAGTAATTAGTGGGACTAACTTTCTGTCAGCATGGTCCAGAACATTGTGCAGTAGCTCTACACTGCATTAACTAGCAACAGCATGGATATAGCTAGATGAGTGGAATTAACAGTCCCTAAAGAAATACCTGTCAGATCAATCAGTAAAAGCAATCAGCTACGCATACTGCTGGATTGATCCAATGTATTATTCAGTCTAGGTTAGTCAATTATGGTACATATGTTGTTTGCTAAAATTGTCTTAGAAAACGTTCTCTCTCTCTCATAAAGACTTTCTTTTCAGTCTGTGTTTTGCAATGCATTTGGCATAATGGGTCCTAATACGGATTTGGTCTTTGACTCCTATTTAATGCAAGTAATAATTAGAATAAATAAAGAGCTTTTATTTGTAATTCTGTGCCTATTTCTTCAATTTCTGTTACAGTGATTGGAAGTGGCCATAGATATGCGTTGACTACGTGGAAGAAGGAAAAGACTTGGGGGGAGTCTGGAAGACTGGGGGCGTGTTTTTTTTGAGAGATTACCTAAATGGGATTGGAGATATTAAATACCTTTAAAATAGAAATGCAAACACTTCTTTATGTGCTTAAAGCATAAAATCTCTTCTTCAAATATGGTGGGATCCTGGTTGCCTTAATATTTGAGGATCCTGCTTAGAAAATTGGAGATACCTGTTTTCATTCTGGAGGCAGAGGGCTTGAGGAAGAGAAATGGCTTCCTAGCATACTTATTCCCTTCTGTTTGTATATACTTTTTCTTTTTGTATCATAGCAGTGTCGCAGGCTGTTATGTGTTGGACTTAGACTAGAAGATACTATTAGGTTTTTTCAGCCTGACTTTCAGGATATCAGGGAGTCATGACATGTCACCCAGGTAGGAGAGAGTGCCGTGGCTATGGTTGAACATGACATTTCAGTCATTGGAGACTATTCTGTCGTGTGTAGTGGGCAGGTAGAGGGGTCTGAAATGCGCAAATGCTGGGGGGAGTGAGCTGGTTGAGAGATGACTGCCAATTCTTACTGGTTGATTTGTGTCTCATGATACTCTTTCCTCTTCTGCAGCTCCCAGGAGCACAGCCATCTGAGGAGACAGTGAGGCGTAACACGGCAGTCAGGCATCTAATAAAAATAATTGTCCATATGAACTCTATCACTGCCACTGATCTCTGGATGCAAACAATTTTTGAGCTTTCAGAGAGCAAAAAAGAAAGACGACAATGTTTTTTTTTCTTTAAATTTTGAAAGTGTGCTTAGTGTCTAAAACATTTTTGAGAGAGGATTATGAAGGAAGAGCTTGTAAATCCCACTCCTTCCAGTTCTATTATTCAGCCTAATACAAGGTATAAACCTTGCCTAGAGCATATATAGCGGCAGGCGTTAAAATCACTTTAAAAAGGTTTGAAGGAAGAAAAATGATGTTGTAAAGGGAAGAACTTTCTGAGGGAAGGAGGCGTCTCACAGTTCCAGATCAAGTTTTTAGCAATCTGGGCAAAGAAAATAGTTTGGTTTGTTCTTAATATAATCTCTGTACCTGTTGCATACTGCTTTTTTGATGAGGGTCAGCAGTAGTTGGCATCTGACCGGGATTTGTGCTTACGGTGCAGATACGTGGGATGTGGGTTGTACTGACTGCGCTGTACTTGCACACATGTAAATTGATGTCTGTGTGTCTTCTGAAATGGAAGAGGAGGAAATA